ACCTCCTCCCATCTAGATTGTCTTCCATCACCACCACCCTCACCAGACACCAGGAGTCAGAGAAGAAAAACCCTGAGTGGTAAGAAAAGGATTTTTTTCTCCCTTGGGTGAAACGGAGCAAACAATAAAGATGGCCCCTCGATCTCTCATTTACACTAGGAGCAAGTCTGTGATATTTTTTCCATGCCTGTCTAGATGGAACCTCCTCCCATCTAGATTGTCTTCCATCACCACCACCCTCACCAGACACCAGGAGTCAGAGAAGAAAAACCCTGAGTGGTAAGAAAAGGATTTTTTTCTCCCTTGGGTGAAACGGAGCAAACAATAAAGATGGCCCCTCGATCTCTCATTTACACTAGGAGCAAGTCTGTGATATTTTTTCCATGCCTGTCTAGATGGATTTATAGAGCAACATTATGATATTTTCTGCCTTCTTATCTATCCCTTTCCTTATGGTTCCTGACATTCTGTTTGCTTTTTTGATTGCAGCCGCACATTGAGCAGATGTTTTCAGAGAACAATCCACAATGACTCCCGGTTCTCTTTCTTGAGGGTTAACGGCTAATTTAGACCCCATCATTTCCTATGTGTAGTTAAAACGATGTTTTCCAATGTACATTCCATTGCATTTATCAACATTGAATTTCATCTGCCATATTGTTGCCAAGTCACCCAATTTTGTGAGATTCCTTTGTAACTCTTCACAGTCTGCTTTGGACTTAACTAGCGTGAGTAATTTTGTATTGTCTGTAAAATTTGCCAGCATTAATTACCCCTTTTCTTTTCAGATCATTTCTGAATATGTTGAACAGCATAGGTCCCAGTAGACACCCCTAGAGGAAACCACTATCATCTCTCTCCATTCTGAAAACTGGTCATTTATTCCTACCCTTTGTTTCTGGCCTTTTCTCTAGCTACAAGTGAGAGGAATACTTTCCCACCTATCCCATTACTGCTTACTTTGATTACCAGTGGCGTAGCAAGGAGGAGGCGGGGGGGCAGTTGCCCCAGGGCACCACACTAGGCGGGCACCAATTTAGTCCCCCTCCACTCCCCCGTCATCCCGCTGCTCACCTGCTCCTCCTCTGCCCATTGCTGCGGTTGGCACCTCCTCCCTGCCTCTCCGCCCCCAGCCCAACCCTCCTCCATCTCCAGGATGCAGCTATGCAGCGCTCTTCCCTGGCTGCCGGTGGGTTAGTGCAAGCGGGAGCCCAGCCCCAAACTGGAGGAGGCGGGGGAAGATGTGGTACAAACTCCCCCCCTCCTCCCAGGGTCAGGCTCAGCCGTGCACCAGGTTCGGGGCCCTGCCAGTGCTGCCCCCGGGGGCATAATACCCTCGCTATGCCTCTGTTGCTCATGAGTCTTTGGTGATGGTCCTTGTCAAGCTTTCTGAAACTCTAAGTACACAGTAGATTGCCTTCTTTTAGCAATTCTTGGAGCTCTTGGAACCCAGCTTGGACTTCCTTTGTCTTCCAGAGTGTATATCTCTATTAGCACTAGTCTACACTTATTAATAACAATTACAATGAATATTTCAAAATAACAAGCAGAACATCCACACTACGAAGCCCATTATTTCAAAATAAGGGGCTGGTTATTTCGAAATAACAACTCCTGCTCTCCTTGGGGAATAAGCTTATTTTGAAATAGTTATTTCAGGAGCTATTAGTTCACAGTAAGTTATTTTGAAATAATTTCCTAGTGTAGACATGCCCTTAGGGCAGTGTGAAAAGTTGATATTTTGTTTGGCTGGCAGTTCTGAAAAATGAAAATAAAACAATTTTTTCAGGTCAACCCAAAAAGTTTATTTAAACAATTGTTTCGGGTTAACAAAATGTATTTGACCTAATTTTTTTTTCAGTTGTGAACATTTTTTAAAGGTTTGGGATAGTGAATAAAATAGATGGAAATTAAAAAAAAAAAAAAAAAAAGTTGTTCTGACTGGAAAAATCAAGCTGAAAAATTTCACCCTGCATTATTCCCCCAGAAATTCCCTTCTCTCAAAGCTCCATCTACCCCGTGTACCTCTGAGCCCAGTTTCTGTATTTTATTGCTCAGTGTTTTTCATGACAGGGCCTATCTGTGAAGCCTCCTTTTGCCTCAGGCTGATTTTGCCCAGTCAGTCAGCAGGCCATGTAGGAGAAACCCCCTGTGAAAGTTGCTCCATTGTTTGGCAGTTAGACCCACTCAGCCACTAATGGCTTGCAGTCCTTGATGTGCTGAAAGTGTCTGCTGCCCTCCAACATACGCCCCCTCCACCTCAGGAATCCCATGCATGAAACACATTTCAGTAGAAAGGTCAGTACGAATCACGGAGCAGACCCACATTCCTAGCCATAGAGTTTAAGTCCAGAAAGGATCACTAGATCACAGGGCCAGATTAAGGGGGGGAGGGGCTAGCCGGGCAGCTGCCCGGGGCGCCAACCTATGGGGGGTGCCTGATTGATGTGGTAAGGGGCGCCATGCGCCTGGGGGCGGGGCTGCGCATGCACCGTGTGCCTGCTGCCCGGGGCACAAGTATGGCTCAGTCCAGCACTGCTAGAATACTTAGTATGACCTTCTGGGTCTCACAGAACACCAACACAACTGCATGCTAAACCCAATGGCTACGTCTACACTGGCGTGATTTTGCACAAATACTTTTAACGGAAGAGTTTTTCCGTTAAAAGTATTTGCGCAAGAGAGCGTCTATACTGGCATGTGCCTTTGCGCAAAAGATTTGCTTTTGTGCAAAAGCATCCGTGCCACTGTAGACGCTCTCTTGCGCAAGAAAGCTCTGATGGCCATTTTAGCCATCGGGCTTTCTTGCGCAAGAAATTGATGTTACCTGTCTACACTGGCCTCTTGCGCAAGAACACTTGCGCAAGAGGACTTATCCCTGAGCGGGAGCGTCAGAGTATTTGCGCAAGAAGCACTGATTTTGCACATTAGAACGTCAGTGTTCTTGTGCAAATACTTGTGGCCAGTGTAGACAGGCAGCATGTTTTCGCGCAAAAGCAGCTGCTTTTGCGGAAAAACTTGCCAGTCTAGACGCAGCCAGAGTGTATATGATATTCAGGGTTTACTCTAGTTTATGCTGTGCTTGTGACATAGCATGGCGTGTGGGAAAGTCAAGCATTGGCAGGTTTGGTTTCTGTTCTGCCATTTGCCGTGAGATTGCGGGCAAATCACTTTGTTGCTCTGACTCAGTTTCCCTCTTTGTAAAGTGAGGCTAATATTAACCAGCATATTAACCAGGATAATATTAACAATCACATAGGGCTTTCAAGGAGAATAATGAATATTTGTACAAAGTATGCCACATATATGCAACCGTATTATCACTAAGCATTCCGAAATTAAATTCATCCTTCTGCACAGGGCCAACACAAGACCTGTGCACACCTCTTAGGCTCTGCTTGAAAGACATAAGTGGTGCACTATCCCTGGCCTGGCCAGCACATGTGTGAATTTCATCCATGATGATTAAGTCCTCGTGAACTGCAAAATATGAAATACAAGTGGCTAAAGAATAGTGATCCCAGGATGTCTCTGATCATGTCTGAGGGTTTAATATTCCACAGAGCATCAAAAGACACTTCAGAACATCAAGGTCAATTGTTCCATGTTCATCTTGGATCATATTTTCCTCCCATCCTTTGCTGATTCTTTTTGCTCTTTTTCTTCCATTGCTCATCTGGTTTTATAGTGATGGAGCAGCTGACTTTTTGAGCCATCGAGTCCAGTTTGGCTTAACTGTCACTTTCAGATGGCTCGGTGTCCCAAGTGATCTGCGATGGACCCTTTAAGAACACAAAATTAAGCAAATGAGTAAAATGTTATACTCACTTTCTTGGCTGCTATCGCTGCTCAGAATAGCTGGAAAATTAAATAGATGAAATAAATGGATTGCAGCATAGAAAAAAAGGAAGCAAATTAAATGACAGTGCCTGTTTCATTAATAGAATAAGGACTTTGGGGAAAAATAAATCACTGTTCTGCTGAACTGTCGTTAAGCAATGAGTTAATGACATGGTAGAAACAAAAGCTGCAGATGGGACATGGAACAACTGCCACAGTCTTTTTGGTCAGAATAATTCATTTTTATTTCTAAATGGCAGTTTCCTACTGTCAAGAAAACCAAATAAATCTGCTCCTATTAGAGTAAAAGCAAAAAAGTGCAAAGAATTTGTATGGAAACTGTGGCCTTTATAAAAGCATGTGTTCCTGACTTTGATTTAATCCATTATATATTAATGTTTTCCTTTGATTTCATGGTCTCTCTCTAGGCCAAATTCTCCTTTGAATAACATAGTGCAAATGCAGAATAATTGCTCTTGGACTAGGTGGAGATACTTAGCATTAACACCATGTCTCTAAGAGCATAATGTGACCCCTATGTGGATCTGATTCATTGTTGCCCTGCTCTGTGCATGGCTATTTACACCAACGCAAGGTGAGTTGTGGGGATTATTTTATACCCACTCTGTGCTTGCTTTGTTCTGGTGTAATTGACTCCCACAATAGAGGGCAGCAAAGAATCAGAGCTGCCGTTTACATTACTGCAGAAGTTGGCCCTGATGCTTCCATGACAAAATGGCAATGACATCCAGGCTGGAGCCAGTTTGAACTTGGATTAATAAATTCACATATGGATTAAAATTGTCAGGTTGAGTTTTGAATAAACATTCATGCACTGGGGCAGACTTTGCTCACGTAGTTGGATCACTTTTATCCACGTCAGTTTAGCAAGGCCACATCCCGCTCTTGATTACACAGATGAAAAAATCCAAGGAAACTCCATCCAACAGAGAACAGAATTTGAGTGATAGTTTCTCAATATCCAAAAATGTTCAGTCTCCATGAAATTCAATTTGCAACTCAGAAAACAAGATTACAGGTTGGACCTCCCTGATCCGGCAAATGAGAGAATTTGCCAGACCAGGGAGGTGTCCCCTGTCCCTGCCCCAAACCAGCTGGCCTCCTGTCTCTGGCCCCTTCTACTCTCTCTCCGGCTGAGCAGTCCATTGTGCTGTCGCTGTCCTCCCGGCCCTGAGCTGCGATAGGCAGCTGGGAGGTTCTCCAGCCTCCAGCACTGGCCCTGTGCTGCCATGGGCGGCCAGGTTTCCCTGGCTCCACACTGCTGCAGGTGGCTGGGGTTCTCCAGCCCCCAGCTCCGCGCTTCTGTGGACTGCCTGGTTCTACGGCCTGGGTCCCAGCACTGCTGTGGGGCTCTGGCCAGCCCTGCTGACCCCAGCCCTGGCCAGGCTACTGGCCCTCCTGCCATTAGACTTCCAGGATCTCTGGTCCAGGAGCATCTGTGGTCTTGCCACAGAGCATCCAGTTTTCAGAGATGCTACCTGTTCTTTAAAATTCCATCCCAACCCCAATTCTTCCCCTTTGCTCATTTCCCATCATCTCATTAGTCCTTTCTTCCCTCCTCTTTCTGACTGTGACACTATCTCCCCTCTATCAATCCACCTCAGACCATCAATCCACCTCAAACCATCAATCCACCTCAAACATCTGCTCTTTGCTAGTGTCATGTCCCCATGGAAAATTCCACAATGGAAATACACAGAGGTTGCCAGAAATGTGTCTGAGATTCATTTTGCTTCCAAGTTAAGAAAATATATTAAGTGTCTTAAACTGTTCTTTTAAGTGGAGGGTGTGTCATGTCAGTGGTTATTCTGTTTTAATGAGTCTTCTATTTTCAGATTCCCAGCCCTGCTCAGATGAAGAAGGCTGCTCCGAAGTATTTCTTCCAACTGACAGCGACTATGATTCAAGTGATGCTCTGAGCCCCAGAGAACTGGATTTGGTTTACTCATCCTCACATGACATATCCCAACAGGCAGTGGGTGGCCTGGGCGGCAGTGCCCCTGATGTTCTACAGGTCCATGATATGAAGCCTCACCTGACTTTGAAAGAAGACCCCAAAGGCGGCAGTGACTTGTATGCCGACGCTGAATACTGCACTGAGTACATGAGTAGTGTGACCGTGGGAGGGTTCACGTCCAAAAGCATGGACAAGGCTTCCAACTCCAGGCAGCCTTTGAGTTTCTTGGGGAAAAAAAAGCTAGGGAAACATCAACACTACAACTACTTCAGCCGGCACCATCGCTGGCTGAGAGTGCACAGTGAGACGCAGCCCACTTCTCTTTCTGAGGGCGTGTACACGCAGCATCTCACACGAGCCACGGATTTATCACAGGAGTCTACCTCCAGTGAGCAAATAAGGATTCCCATCGACGGTCCTAGGAGCACTTTCTTACTTCATGCCTCGAGCCTCCCAGAAGATGGGAAAGGCAAGTACCAAGAGTCGAGGCAGAATATCCGTAGGATATATGTGGAGCCTTATCAAACCGCGGTACTCAGTGAAGAGGGCAAGCCCTGGGCTCTGAGCATGCAGTCTGTAGAACGTGGAGATTTGCACGATACCACAGAACAGGAAGTGGGCTTGGATGACCAATCAAATTCTCCCATCTCGGAAGTATTCAGTAGCACGCTTTAGGAGTTTGCACTGCAACACGCTGCGCCCAAAATGGCATCATGACCATTCTCAATTTAGGATCATATTTTCAAATTAACCTTTAAAATGCAGATCCTCAACTCGCATCTGGTTCTACTTACTTTACCAGCTGAGGATCCGGCCTTAAATGGGTATCCCCCAAAGCGCATGCCAAATCGCTTGCATCTGCAATTTTCAGGTGTAAATAATCAATGTTTACCATCTAACTTAATGCTGCATGATGGCAAATCAGGTGGTTAGGCACAGAAATGTGCTTAATTACACAAATGTCTGGGCATGCAGAATTTCAGGCACATACAATTTGCCTGCAAAATTTGGGGGAAGCTGATTAAAGTCACTTTAGAAATGTGGTCCTAAGTTCTATTACCTCCCCCTCCCCGTAAATGTTTCCACTTCCCAACAAGCCCCTTGTGTGGATTTCGCTGACATGCAAGTAAAGCACTGAGTGGTTGGGTGAATGAAAATAGGTCCTGCAGCTTCTGGTCTTACGTGCCCCTTTATTTCTATCACACAAAAAATTAGTGCCAACTCTAAACATTGGCATGGCCTGGTACAATTGCTAGCCTTGCACGCTTAGCTTCATAGGCTTTGATTTAAAGGAATGTAAATACCAACTTATTCTCCAGCTTTAGATGAGAGAGAATCCTTCTAGATCAAGAGGAGAGGGTATTAGGTGGTTTGCGGTAGCTGGTCTGACTAGTGAATGAATAATGCATAGTCACAGGGCTTTGGCTGGTCCTTTGCATGGGAATGAATTTCATCTGGTTACAGGGAATCTCAGACTGTCACTGGAGGTGGATCTAAGCCATAAAATTCAGGTTCAGGCTTTTTTTTTTTTTTTCCAAATACTCCCTCCAAATTTCAAGGTTGTTTGGATCAATGGTTTCAGGTTTAGACCATTGTAGTAATTCTGAATTGGATAGATTTAGATTAGGGAAAAAAGGGCAGGGGCAGGGGAGCAGTTGGATCAGGGATTTTGGTTCAGGCCCATCTTCGATGACTATGTAAGTATCAGTATCATACTATGTAAGTATCAGTATCAAAAGAACAAATATAATCTTGAAATGCCCCAGTTTCTTAAAAACAGTGAGTAGTCCTATGGCACCTTAAAGACTAACAAAATATATAGAGAAGAAATATATTTAAAATGTGTATATATATATATATATATCCACTTCATGCATCTGATGAAGTGGGCTCCAGTCTGAGAAAGCTTATGCCCAAATATATTTGTTAGTCTTTACTGTGCCTCAGGACTCCTCGTTGTTTTTGCTGAAACAGACTAACATGGCTATCCCTCTGAAACTTGACTCCATGGAATGGAAGTTATACCATTTATACTCACCTTAAGCTTATGTCCAAGTAAAGGAGCAGAAGAAGACAAGACAAACAAAGTCTGGGAACATGTCAATATGAACACATACTGCATGGCAAATCAGTGTGGAAGTCTATAATGCTCATAGACGTTCTCGCTGTATTTAAAGTTACAGACTAACTTGGCTACCCCCAGACATATTTTTTTAAGGATACTTCGAAATCCACAATAGATTTTGTCACGAGAATAAGACCCACCGTCCTCTCATCCTCCAGAAGACATTCTAGACAACTAAGTCCATATTAATCAGAGTCATGACACTAAGGTCATATTACTACATACATCTTTAGGACTTGGAGAAATTAATTACAAGTGAGGGATACTTCCCTTCACCCTTCCTCCCTGCTTTCCCACCCCTGCTGTTGCGACAGCCTTTGACTTCTATTCTTTCTTACACAGTTCTTGAAGTTTAATCTTATAGGCCACCTTTCTTCAGGTTAAATGTCTTCACTTCATGTATGCCCAGCCATCTCCTTTTCAGTATGTGAAATTCCACATGGGTACGTTCTAAGGCCGAAGAGGCTTGAATTCAATGTGAAGATAAGGATTTGCCCCATGAGCTGTGGACCATATGAAAATAGCACATTGCTAACCCCAGAGCTTTTAAAATCCTCCTAATGCTTAGCACCAAGCCATAAATTCAGACATGGAAGGTATTTACCATTGTCTTTGCTCTGATAGAAGGGACCACTGTTTCTCCGAGGGTTTTATTATGAGTGGGAATTATATATGTAACATCTAATGCATCACACATCAGAATATGATACAAGACTCGTATTGAGGATTGGGAAGACTCCCTCTGAGTTCAATGGTTTTGGATAAGACCCACCTGGAAAGTGTTAGTGAGGAGAAGGGTGTGAGGAGTCCAGGTGCCACACTGCAGTGGGGAGTATATGGAAGATTGCAGGTTTTATCCTATATGAGAAGGGAAATCCTGATGCAACTCAGAAACGGTCCAGAGAACCAAAAATTGGCACTGTGCTACTGACAGTAAAGTCAGTACCGGCTTGTCACGTTGCCACACAACCATTGGCACAACGCCCCTATTAAGAGAGACTAGGACAATCTGGTGCTTGAGCCCTGCAGGCAAAACATGCAACCATGCAAAATATAGTGCCTGGCCCAATGGGGCCCTGACCTGTTTGGGTTCTTGGTGCTATTGCCCCATGAGGCGTTTCATAGTAATAAGATTCTATCCCCAAAGCATTTTGCAGACCGTGATAGGGAAAAAAGAAATGTTACGTGGGCTTCTCTAGAGAATTGTTTTCCTAAATTGAAAACCATCTCCCCTTGCTCTGGCTCTCCAAAGCTATGGCAGTCTCCAGATTGACAGTAGCAAAGTCCACATTAGAAAGAACAGGACACACACTTGCCAGACATGTAGTTGGAGTACCTGCCCTACTCATCACCATCCCAGGCCATCAAATGAATCCCTGAATGTTAATGAGTGCCCAGTGCAAAACCCAGAAGGGGAAATGTGCCTTTCCATATTAGAGACCAAAATACAGTTATAATAATTTACACTTTTCATGGCAGGATTGTCCAAATTCATTCACAAGCAATTATGATTGGGGGGAGGGATAGCTCAATGGTTTGAGCATTGGCCTACTAAACCCATGGTTGTGAGTTCAATCCTTGTAGAGACAACTTGGGGCAAATATTTGTCAGGGATGGTACTTGGTCCTGCTGTGAAGGCAGGGGACCGGACTCAATGACCTTTCAAGGTCCCTTCCAGTTCTAAGAGAGAGGCAATCTCCATTAGTTAATTAAAAGAAACTCCTGGGAAGTGGGCAAATCTTAAATTCACTTCATATTTAGGTAAACCAAGGCCCAGGGGGATAAGTGTCTTTTCATAGGCCATATAATGATAATAGAACCCAGAATAAAGTCTTAAAATCAAGAATAAAACCTAATGAAAAATCCCAGTCCTTTTGTTCCACCCAACACACCCTACAAAACTCAGTTTCCCCTCTAAAAATCTTGCATAGCTATATATAAAAGGCCACGATTCAATGCAGTCGAATTTCACTAGTCACATCTTCCTCTGATGTAAAGGAGCATAGCTCCATTCAAATCACAAGGCCTGTGCCTACTTCCAGAGCTGAAGACCTGGCCTTAAATGGGCATTCCAGATTCTCATGCATCCGGATAGATATCTGAATTGTTGCGCTAAAATCAGGAAGACGATATTCATTCTGGTTTGTCCGTGAAGGAGTGTATTTTCACTTGGGCTGAGTCGAACTCTTCCTGTTTGCAAACCTAATTTCTGCCTGTAACTTGTGCACCCACAAAATAAGTGCGGGTCAAAGTCTTCATGGATATTTGTCCAACTTCCTGACTTGTGCTGGGAATTAGGTAGTGACATGTATAGGTAGGAAGATATTGCATCGGCAAGAAAGTGGCTTGCACACTGATGAGTTGGCTCAAAAGACCTATGGCTAAGTGTCTCTCTCTCTCTCCTGTGCTTGCATGTTTGTTCTGTGAATTAGCCTCTACACACTAATTAACTGTTGGATTTGCCATGCAGCAAGGGCGCAGGCACAGAAAGCTATAAATTATTACTTCATTGCTGTAGTGTAAATATTTTAAAATGGAGCCAGTGAAGGGGGGAGGTGGGAATGGAATATTTTATCCTGAACGTTTATGTTTGGAGCATTTAAAGAGCAATGTTTTGGAAAGAGATGGTGCATCTTTACGTTCAGTGGGTTATAAAGAAATGCATTAAGTTGCTGGTCAACTCTTTTAAGATGTTTAAACACATGGCTCATGACTGTTATGTAAAATCTCAATGCAGCCTTACAAACAACAAGGGTGTAGTGTATTTGAAAATATGCTGTACCGTCTGGAAACTTATTCTGAGTTTTTGATTCAGAGTTTCTCTGAGGTGTTGAACTTTGCCATCAGCAAAAAGTATTTTTAGAAAAGGGCCTTGAATTTTCATACAACGCTGATTTCATCAAGTTTTGGTCTCCGTTTTTTCCACTACAGCAGCTCGTAAGTAGTAAGAATACTCCTGTATCTCTCTCTGTTATGTATCTATTTTTCTCTTCTGCTTCCACTGAGGAGAATTAACCAGGCTAAATCCTGCCCTTGTTGACACACAGAGGAGAAGCTGAGTGCAGGCCCATGACTTCCTCTGCAAAAAGTTGGAGCAAGGTTCCCCGATGCTTGTGATCCAGGAAACGTACATGCTTTGCATCTGTGCAGAAACAAAAGGCAGCCAAGCCTGGTGCCAGCTAGTGGTTGCAATGATGATGGGAGTCTTTCCATTGACTTTAATGGGCTTTAGATAAGGCCCTACCACGTAGCCAAGAGCTAGTTATATCTCTTGCTAACCCACAGATCACGACTCTCGAAACTGATGTACACGAGCCCCTATGTTAACTAGCTGTGTCTTCTAGCACACACTATTTCTTGGGTGAAAGAAGAGTCCACCTATAACCTTTTTGCCCTGCCTTTATGCATCACTGCCACTGGGGTAAGATTTTGCCTTCACGTTGGTTATCTTAGGACAAGACAGTATAGGGTTATTTGTTTTTTCTTGACTGCAGAAAATCTCCTATTTTGCTTAGAAGAATAAGGAATGTTATTTTTGTTTTCTTTGGTCATCGCTGCCCTGTGTTCTTATTATTCATTAATTCTGGGAGTACCAAAAGCTAATTTGTAATTTCTCTGGAATTAAAAGGTTGTGATTGATTTATGGCTATTCTTCCTTCACACTGTGGATTACGGTCATTGAACCAGCAGCCCAGTGGCAATTCTTTATTTTTTTATTTTTTGCTAAAGGGCATGGACTTTTTGTATTGCATTTTGATTGATGTAGAAGTTTGTTTGGGCCCTTATGTGGTCCTTATGCCTAATTCTCCTCTGTTTTGACACCCAGTGTAAATCAAATGTAGTCCCATTGAAGCTGGCCAGGCCCTCAATGGGTGTAAATGAGCATCGCTCCATTGCTGATTTACACCAGCAAAGGATCTGGCACTCCATGAAGTCAGTGGAGATATACCTGTGTAAAGAGAACGAGGAGAACGAGGGCACTTATCTCAGGCAAAATCCTTCTTGAAGTCAATAGGTATTTTGTTAGGCTAGAGGAAAGGATTCAGCCCTCAGTGCTGCATTGTGACAGGGGCAACTATTTCTCAACTAAACACCATATTTAAAAAAAGAGACAGGAACAACTTTTTCTCCCAAGTTACACATATGCATCCCGCAGTTAAATGCAATGGGAGTTGCATGGGCTTGCCCCTGGGAAGAATTTGGTCCCAGTTTTTGTAATTGTAAAAAAATTAAAGGCTGCTTTTTTTTCCCCAAGAGAAAAGGTAATTTAAGTGAAATGAGCAAGGCAGTGTTTAATTGCTTCCTGCCTTGTTTGTACATAGCAATTTGGCTGTTTATTGGTTGTCTTTGTTCAGATTTTTATTGTAACCCGTTGCTATATTTGCAACTGAGTGTATGTTAAAGTTTAAACTTTGGTATAGTATAATGCACAATTTTGTGTGCTTTAAATCTTTGTAAATAGACAGATGCACAATAGATGCTCTGTTAAGTGTGATCAAGGGACCTTACACTACACTATTTTCATGCATATGTATCTATAAACTGAAAATATCAAAATGTATATTGAGGATGGCCATGAGCCAAGAATAAAGGAGTGTGTTTTGACTCATGCTTCTTGAATAATTACTGGAAGAGGCATGTACATTAAGTAAAATAGAAAATGAACATAATTTTTGAGACTACAGGTATTTTTGAT